TGACTGAGATACCGACAGACATCGCGAGGAAATTGAGCGTAAATAGTGGAGAAAAGCGAAGGTAAATTTTTTGTATGCGGTACCGACACTGTATGGACTTACAGTGAATTAGTATCATGTGCAAAAAGCACACTTAATATGATCTTTTACATTCAATTATAATTATTTAATTGGATAATTATCTGAATTCATAGGAAACGAACTAACAAGCTGGGGACATCTAAGCGACGGCGAACACAACCGTCCCCTCCCGTTAAGGACCAAAATCAACCCCTCACCAGGACTGTACTTGTAAGTAGGACATTTCGATTTGAGAAGTGCTATAGGTTGTAACTGTTTTAGGAAAATGCTGCAGTCAAGAAAGTAGAAAAAAATTGAAGCGTATAACTTAAGGCCTCGGCGCAGGTTGGATGTTCTAAGAGATATGATCATCATTTTATCGTTCGGGCTCTTTTTGTTTCTTTTTCCAAATTTTTTAGGCCTTAATCATTTTTAAAGGCTACGTTGAATTATAGATTACTGGACCTTTTAGACTAATCTTTCAAACCAAAATTGACCCTTATTTCGTTTTTGCGCACTTTCCCACGACGTGTGCTGCAACCCCTTTGCGAACGGTCCAGCAAACAATTCCTGCGCTTATGTGTGCGCTTAAGATTCTGTCGCTTTGTGCGTTTAAATAGCTTGTACCATCCTCTATTAAAGCCCATCCCAGCAGACAGTCCCATTCCGTTTTAAAAAGTTTTCCTATAGATGATTTTCTTATGTCTATTAGCCTCTTTGAGACTCCACATTCTCATCACGATATTTTACAGTCTATTACAGAACATTGAAATGGATCAATCACCCGCTAATACGTTGCCTATAGGTAATAAATAGTCCCCTACTCTAGGCATTATAGAGTTGAAAAGTCCTTAGTTTATGTATGTGTATCTAAGCTAAAGGCAGCCTCTTTCAAATGTATTAAGGTCTTGAAAAATCGAAGAATTAGAAAAATATTAACAACCAAGCATATTTTTTGCTCTTTGTACATTTTCTGAAATCTAGGAATTTTTTCGAATGGTTTAGGGAGGATATCGCATAGATTTCTAACATTGGTCTATGTTAGATTTTCAAGTTCTGGATTGTTAAAACAGAAGTTTGAAAAGATGTAATTATGGGAGAATGAAATACGTCATAAAGTACTGTGAATTAATGTCTTCTTTGATGTACTCATTGCAAACTTCGATCAATTTTCTTAAAGTACTGTGTATTAAAGTCTTCTTCTCTGATGTACTCATTGCAACCTTCTTTCAACTTACCACTTTCATTATGATTTCCGAACATGTTTTCCTTGTAGTGGGTGTCGTTGCACACCTCAAATCAAACTGAGATAATGTCGATTCTGAATTATTTTCTACATTCCAATTATTTCAGTTGTCATGTCCAATACAAAAACATTTTGCGTTTGCAGACATCTGATGATGATTTCTCGCGATCCTCCGTAGACGAAATGCCACGGCTGCATCCTGCTGATTCTGTAGAATATGCACACAACGGAAGTGCACCCGGTGAGGAGACGAGTAATCAGTGCAGTAGCTCAGATGAAATGCCAACAAATTCGAATGGAGTTCAGGGAACTGACTCAGTAGGTTGATTCTCTAAACTTCAATGTTAAGACAATTTATGTTTGTATTTCCAATGATTTCTTTGTGCACGTCTACGTACCCTGTTTAGTCACCACAACGTCCTCTTCGCATCGACGGAGATGTGATGGAGTGGGAGTCAAATCAGCTCATATTGTTTCTGAGAGCAACGTTTCCCGATTTAAGTGATGTGACAGGCGTGCTTGAGAAAGAGGTGAGTAGAGTAAGTTCGACAAATTCAGAAACAAAATTTGAATTTTCCAAGCACATTGATGGAGCCCACTTGCTCCTGATGACGCAGCAGGATTGCATAGATTCTTTGGGTTTGAATTTGGGTCCTGCGCTACGATTATATGAAGTGATACAGGCACGTTTCCACGCTTAGTTCCTTTATATGTCAGGACTTATAACCACAAAATTTCTTCAGAAAATCAAGAATGCAAATGAAAGTCACATCTGAAGAGATTGTACTATTTGAAGACCTTGTACAGTTATGTTTATACCGGTATACTTCCCTAAAGTCTATCGCTTGTTAGCTGTTGTAAACTATTATGTTTGCGCTTGTTACTGACCCTAGAGGGCTCACTTATACTTTTGACGTGTATGCATTAGGAAAAGTTCGTTTAAAATGGTCTAACTTAGCGATACTTCTTAGACATTTTAATTTTTATTTATATTTTACTTTCCCGCAATGGTTGACTTGATCTCCTCAAAATAGATTTGTCGTCATATTTTCTTGTTATCCACTAGATTTCTTTGATCGCTGTAACGTAAGCTGTGTATACTGTAAATAAATGTTATCACTCAAAGCCTT